TTTAATTTTTTTTATATATATATTTATTTTTTTATATATATTCTTCTGTTTGGGGCTTTTTTTTTTGCATGCAAAACCCAACATCCCCAGGCAACAAATGACATGCACAAGGGCCAGCAGCTGGTCCCCACAGAGAGCTGCATGCAAAAGAGCCGTGCCTGCTTGCAGACTCCACAGACACATCATTATGGGATGTACCTCCTGCAGCAAGGTCACCTCGTACTCCTGCAGCTGCTGCTGGAAGCCAAAGTTGGGGCTGACGTAGGATCTCACAACCTTGGTGGCAGCCAAGCAGCCCTCCCAACCGAGCTCGGTCACCGTCATGAGGTAAGCCACCAGGGTGGTGGTGCTGCGGGAGACCCCAGCCAGGCTGGCACGGCGTGAGGGAACAGCATCAAGGAGAGGTTGGTGTGGCTCCACAGCAAGGGACACCCATAGGATGCATCTTCCCATGGGCATCTCCTCTCGCTGGGGTGATAACAGAGTTCCCCAGCCATGGGTGGGGTGGGGGTAAGGAGCTGCATGGACAGGGAGTCACTGCTGGTGGCTCTGGGGAGGTGGTTTCCCCCGTCCCCTCCTGTCCCACCTCTGTGGATGCTCTAGTTGTCCGCACACAGACCACTCATCCCCATGGATCTCGGCAGTAGAGACCTTCCCCTGTCACCCACCCGCTGTTCCTCATCTCCTTCCTGCCCACCACAAGTGATGCTCAACGCTGAGGACACTTTTTTGGGAGCCCATCCCCACCTCCCAGAGGACTGATGGGAACTGGGGACACGAGGTGGTGACAGCAGCTCTCACCAATGGACAAGGCAGCCTCCTCCACCGAGCCGGCACTCATGGATGAACTTGATGCACTCCTTAAAATGCTGCAGCCTGTGAGGAGAGAGGCAGGAAGGTGAGGAGGGGAGGGCTGCCCACCCCTACAAGGCACCTGGCCACACCAAAATCAACAGTTGTGTGTCCCCCCAGGACTTCCCACCACCCTGGGGAGGGAGCAGAGATCCTTCTTCTCCCAGGCAAAGGCAGCAGGATTCATCTTCATCTGCCAGGAAGGAAATGACCCAGGAGACTTTCCAGGGGATTTCCTGCTTCTCAAGGTGTTGGGATGGGACAATTGGGATACCATCAGCCAAACCAACTCAGGGATGACCCCAGAGAGACAGCCTCCAAGGCAAGGTGTCATCTTCTGCCCAAGGGACATGCATGTCTCCATATCAGAGGTTGTCCTAAGCCATTGACTCACCCCAAACAATGGGTGACCCCAAACATAATTCCCAAACAATGTCAAAACATTGGGGGGTTGGAACTAGATGATCTTTAAGGTCCCTTCTAATCCAAACCATTCTATGATTCTATGATTCTATGAAAACCACCCAGTTCCCTCCAAGGGAAAGATGCCAACGAGGTAGAAGGTAGGGAGAAGGTGGCTCTCAAGGCATTTTGCCTGCAGGTCCCAAAAAGGTGCAACTCCCTTCTCCTCCTCAGCCCAAGCACCCCTTCCAGCCCCTTCCCACCCAAAGGAGGGCAGGGAGAGGTGCCCATGCCAGGGAGGTGGAGCTGCCAGCAGCAACACAGGCTTGTCCCTGGATGGCTGCTGCATTCCTGAAAGCACAACCAGCATCTGCCAGCAAGGACGAGGGAGCAGGTTAACCCAAACCAGCCAGTTTTGCAGCAAAAAGGGACAGGTCAGGAGCTCAGTTATATGAGGACATCCTCCTTGGATGTGTCCAAGGCCAGGTTGGATGAGGCTTTGAGCAACCTGGTCTAGTGGAAGGTGTCCCTGCTGATGGCAGGGGGGTTGGAACTGGATGAGCTTTAAGGTCCCTTCCAACACAAACCAGTCTGGGATTCTGGGATTCTAGGACTTGTCTCCTTCTGAGCTGGCTGCTCGGCAAGATGAGCAGTATCCATCTTTGTGAAGGCATGGAGACCTGGAAAACAGGATGAATAACTCCACAGGTACTGATGAGATGGAGGTGGGTGCAGCCGAGCCAGAGCTGCCCAGTAGTGAGTGCAGGATCCGGCAGATCCCCGGCGCCGGTGCCAGACTTCCTCTGCCTCCGCGTGATGGGGTGGGCGTGAGCTGCACAACCTTCCTGATTTCTCAGAAGCCAAAGCACCAGCTACCACAGAGTTATTCCCCCCTCGTGTCCCTCACTGAGGGCTTGCTCCCAGAACATCCTCCCTCGAGAGGGTTCGGAGCTGCCTTCCCTGCAGGGACAAGGCAGAGCCCTCTAAAACCTCCCCCATCCCTGGTAGTCCATCCCAGGGGATGTTCTTCACCCTGCCGTGGAAGGAGGATCAATGGGGGTGCTGCTCTTCATCCTGCTCTTTAAGGACAGAGCTCAGTGCCTTCTAAGAAACCAGCTAAATCATAGAATCCCAGACTGGTTTGGGTTGGGAGGGACCTTAAATATCATCTAATTCCAACCCCCCTACCATCAGGAGGGACACCTTCCACTAGACCAGGCCAAGGACATGTTCAAATATAGCAGAAGGTTCTGCTGCTCAAGAAGAGGAGGAGAGATGGGGGAGTCCCTGAAGATGTGGTCATACTAAAATATTGAGCCTTTTGACCCTGGAAGGAGATGTCAGTCCATGGCTCCTCATGGACTACAGATGTGCCTCCTCCTTGACCCTCATAGCAAATGGAGCATCATGATTTGGGGGGCCTTTCCCTGCCTAAAGCTTTTCCTGAGGGATTTCTCCTCATCCTACTTCTCTTCGCAGAGCAGACAGCATTCCCCAGCGCCTGCATGTGTTGCCTACACAGGTCCAAGCTCTCCAGATCCCAGTCCTCCACTTGGCTGGGACCACCAGGGATGCACTTTGCTTGCAAGGACATGATGCTTTTGCCTTCAGCTCCTTCAACAAGCTTTCCACCAGCTTCCAGCCCGCTCCACACACACAGCATCACTCTCCAACCCATCCTGGAGGGATGCAGGTGAGACCTTCAGCCACCTCATCCACCCTCACCCTCTCCATGAGGTTTTTCCCAAGCAGGGGAAAGCTCTCCCCATGCTTTTCCAGCCTCAAAGCGTGGGATCAGGGCATGGAGCTGAGAGCCACTGAGGTTCCTGAGTCACAAGCATCTCTTCTTCACACGAAGTTCACCAGGATTGTGAAATCCAAGGCATAAACTGACAAGCAGAAAATAGTTCCTTGAATAAATCTTCCTTCCTGTAGCCAGTCTTATCTTCTTTTCCCCCCAACTTTTTTTTCCCTTTCAGTAGACATGTCACAAATGGCAAAAAAGGAGAGGAGGGAAAAAAAAAAACAACCCAACACTCAAAAAAAAACCCCAGTTTTGCTGAGACAAGGTTTTCTTGTAAAGCTTCTCTTTCCGCTCAGCGCGAGCATGAGCAAGCAGAATCACACCCCCCCCAGGCACTGCTCTTCCCAAAGATGCTGGAAAACCAACACCTCCACAAAACAATTTCACTGTGCACAAAGATTTGATCCTTTTTAGGGTTTGATTGATGAGAAAAATCCTTCAGAGTCAGCATTTTCTGGTTGTGATGGATGGTTTCTGGAAGCCCATCACCCAAAGTGACAGTGGGTGTCAGCATTTTATTTTAATAAATATCTAAAAGAGCAACACAAATCAAACCAATTCTAAACCAATTAAAAAAACTCCAATTTTCCACTCTGCCCAGTAGAATAATTCTGAAATTGAATGGAAAATTGAATTTATTGACTGCAAACACACACAGAAACAGATTTTCATCCCTACAAACGCTATTTACTGCCTGAAAATGAGCCACAGTTTCTCTCGAGCTCCTCAATGACACCAAGTTTTTGCAGCAGGAATTTAGGAATGAACTGAACCTTCATCCTGTAGAATGTGAATATTTTTTTGACTAATAATTACCCAAACACAACCCTGGGAGGTAAAAGGCTGGTGACTTACAGGTTTTGACTGGATGAATCCGAAGCTGAGATACAGAGATAGGTCATGTCCTGCAACACAAAGGTGGTGGTGGTAGCGAGATACCTCCAAGAAACACAAAATCCCCTATTTCTCTCTTTTTCCCTCTCCCCATCTGACTCTTTGCTGAAGGATAAACTGAAATTCACCTTCAGGTGCCATCACCCTGCTCACCATGGGTAGGGAGAAAAATGATGGGTCACATCCATCCCACCCTGGGCTATTTTCCCTTCCTATTTCAGCCCAAAAGAGAGGTCAAGTTGTGGGGAAGTCCCCCAAAAACTGAGGCAGCCCTTTCCAGGGGTGAGCCCCGTCAGGAAGCCATGTGTGAACACACACTGATGAAGTCACTCTCAGCAAGGAGTTATTTCCTCCTGGTTCTTTTAATACACAATAAATCATCCTGCCGCATGGCAGCCTAGGTCAGATTACTTTCCTCTCTTTAAAATATCGCTTCCTCGATCCTCCCCGTTCTGAGCTAAAATTAGATCCTTTCCACCAGCTTTTTTTTTTAATTATTTTTAAAATTTTTCTTAATTAAAAGGGTGGAAATCCTGCCAGCCAGACCTGAAACAGCCAAGCACCTGAGATTGTCTCATCTCCATCAGCTGCTGAAATGTCCCCCACCCTGGGCTGATGCAGCCCAGCCCCATGGGTCACCCTCACTTCCCTCCAGCCCGGGGAGAAGTGGGAGGCTGGAAAAAGCTGATTATTTCAAAGAATCATAGAATGGTTTGGGTTGGAAGGGACCTTCAAAAGTCATCTAGTCCAACCTCCCTGCAGTGAGCAGGGACATCTTTACTAGAGCAGGTTGCTCAGAGCCCCATCAAACCTGACCTTGAATATATATATATATGCATATATATCCTTATATATTTAAGGAGGGAAGGGGCAGAGTGGGACAGACACGGGGATATTTCCACACTGGAAAGACCCACGTTGCAAGGATCATGGGTGGGGCTTTCCCGTGCATCACCTCTCTGTCCCATCCATCCATCCATCCCACGCTGGTCCCCACCATCCCACAGCTTCTCCTGGGACAAGGATGAGGTGTTGTGGTGAAGTATCACTCACCAGCTCCCTGTGGTGTGCCAATCAGCTGCTTCCCACCTGGAAAAGCTGCTGGAGAGGCCAGGGATGGGGGGAAAATGAAGCCAGTGGGTTCCTCATCCACATCCTCAGCCAAACTGTGGGTCCCCAGCACACAGGGATGGTGGGTGCAGCTGGGAGCTCGGTGGGTGGAAAGGGACCATGTAGCAGGCAGGGGAATGGGGACCAGCAAGCAAACACCCAGCAGGTTTTGTAGGATGAACCATAATGGGCTGTGGCTTCCCAAAACCTGGCTGTGCCCTGCCATGCCTGGTGCCAGCCCGAGCTCTCCGCGGTGAGGAGAGCCACCGTGCCAGCAAAGCCACCGTGTCAACCAGTGGAGCAGCCAAAGGACCCCACTCCTCCCCAGATCCCAACCCACACCCTGATCCCAGATTAACTGCCAGGCTCCCAACAGCTTCCCCTTCCCTGTGGGGCTGAGTGTCCCCATTCCACCTCGAGGAGCTGGGCCACACATGGGAATGGTGCTGGGGTTTGCGGTTCCCAACCCGGGGGCCGTGATTGACACATTGCTCAACCCACCATGCCTTTCCGGTTCCCCTTTCCACCAGGCTGGTGGCTTACTCCGTGTTGTAAGCTCTCCGTGTGGTTTGCTACCCGTCTGGCCGTGCCCCAAACCCCACCAGCTGCCCCTGCTCCAGCCACGAGTCGTTTCTCTGCACCCATTTTATGCAGCCTCCTTCCTTCTCTCTCTCCCTTCTCCACGTTACTCAATGTCTTAGTGGGGAAAAGTCTCAGGTTGGTGTTTTACTGGGGCTCCCTGTCCACTGTGACCCTAAAGGATGAGGGGTCCAAGGAGCCCCCTTTGCCTTTGCTGCATCCTGGGATTTGGGAGCTGGCAGCAGGTTTGACACCAGGATGAAGTGCAAGTTGCCATGAAGTGTTGAAGGCCAGGTTGGATGAGGCTTTGAGCAACCTGGTCTAGTGGAAGGTGTCCCTGCTGCTGGCAGGGGGGTTGGAACTGGATGAGCTTTAAGGTCCCTTCCAACCCAACCCAGTCTGGGATTCTATGATAAGCTGTGAGATGAGCTGTGTGGCCCGAGCATCCTCATACACGGACCTGCTGCTCCTCCTGCTGCAGGCTCCACAGGGGGGATTCCACATCCAGCCTGGGGAAGGAGAGGCTGGAGAGCAGCCCTGCAGAGAGGGACCTGGGGGTTCTGGTCCATGGCAAGTTGAACATGAGCCAACAGTGTGTCCTGGCTGCCAAGAGGGACAATCATGTCTTGGGGTGCATCAAGCACCT